ATGGGAAAATAAAAGGTCGGTTAGTTCAGCTCTTTCATGTCTGGCTTGGCGGGTTTGTGTTATGGTATGGGAAAAATAAAAAGTCGGTTATTAATAGTTCAGTTTTTCCATGTCTGGCTCGTCAGGTTTATGTTAGGGTATGGGAAAATAAAAGGTCGGTTAGTTCAGCTCTTTCATGTCTGGCTTGGCGGGTTTGTGTTATGGTATGGGAAAAATAAAAAGTCGGTTATTAATAGTTCAGTTTTTCCATGTCTGGCTCGTCAGGTTTATGTTAGGGTATGGGAAAATAAAAGGTCGGTTAGTTCAGCTCTTTCATGTCTGGCTTGGCGGGTTTGTGTCACGGTATGGGAAAATAAAAATTAGTTAGTTCAGTTATTTCATGTCTAGGGTCTAGTGGCTTGTTTTACAGCGTCGGTGCCACGCGACGCCAACCTATTCACATTTTGCGAACAGGGCACAACTTCGGGGGGAGGGGGGACGCGGAAGATATTATGCAGAAAAAAAGTTCCACATATACATGCTTTCCTTAGATCGACACCAATCGCGTCAGCTCTCAATTCAACCGCGTGATTGTTGCGGTTCATCGTTTGCTGCTGTGATGCTGCCAATAAATACTAGTAGTATGTATATTTTTTGTCGTTCGGTTTGCTCGCAACACATCGTTCGCAGTTAGTTGGCTCCATGACGCGATGATGTCAACCTCTGTCAGCATTGACCCTTCCTCCTCTGATCCTGCTTACCCCTCCTTCCCGTCCCGCCCGTTTGTTTTGTCCATTTTTTTCCTCTCGCTCCTTCATCAAAGAACCCCCTACGAGCACCGGAGCCGGGTACCAGAACGGTCGCGGGAACGGTGCGGGAAACGGCGTCGGAGGAGGAGCTCACCGTGGCAACAACGCTTTGGGTCCCGCCGCCGCCGCCGCCGCCGCGCCGTCCCGCATGCCCCAGTCTCGCATCACGATGACGGGACCAGTGGCGTCGCGCCTTCAGTACCAGGTATGAGCATGCCGAGATTTTATACAAGTCTCCTGATGCCCGAGCACCCAAAAGTAGTGCAGTTTGCCTTCTCCTCGACATTTCAGAGGAGGTTTTTGCTTGGCTGGCTTGCGAGCTTTGGCGGCGACCCTGGATTTTCGTTCTTCCTCGACCGGAAGGCAGTTGGTCCTGTTTTTGTCCACCGTTGGTTGTTTGGTGTGTTGCAAACCAGGGGGTTACGGGCAGAGAAGGGGTACCCGGTACACCTCGCATCAGATTTTGACGTGGTACAAGCAGAGTTTGGCGCGTGTAAATACCTAGGACGAAGAGAGTACTGGGAGCACGGTGATGCGCTGCTGACGTCGCGATCGAGGCTTTTCAGAGAGATGGTGTGTAAACGGAGCTGCGTGGCCAGTAAACAGACGGGGACCAGGATACCGGATGAGGTGGTGGTATGTGGGAGCTGGACAGGTTGCCGGTACGATTTCCGGAGGGACTAACCACGCCACCACAAGGCCGATGAAGGGAGCTGAACGGCAAGAGGACGCCCGAGAGAGTTGACGAGGCGGGTGGAGCGTGGGAACGACTTAACAATCGAGCTGCAGGAAGGGGCGGACGGTGTAGAGAGAAACGTGGATGATGCATCACAAAGCTCGGGCAATACAAGCGCAATTCGGGGACACCCAGCGAACGGTACCCAAACTCCCATTGCACCCTCGCTCCATCCTCACCCGGCCTTCCTTTGGCGTACCCCTTTTTGTGTCCATGTTCCGGCCATCGTTTCTTCGTGCTGGGCTGCATCCACTGGCACTATCTCCAACTGCGACAATGCTTTGGACGCCCAGCAGCCCCCCCGAGCCGCGATCCCCAATGTCCGCGCCGGTCTGTTCGGCACCTCTCTGGATGACGTGGATGGCGACCATGCGGATATGGACGAGGACGTTCCTGGTAGGGACCTCGACGACTATGTCCACCCGGGGATGAATGGGTTTGGTAGTGGCAGCGGCAGCGGCGGCCGGGGGCGCGGCGGTGGCGGCGGCGGCGGAAGGGGCGGCGGTGGCGAAGGCGCTGTCTTCTTCAATGTGGGTGGAGTTTTTTTAGTTGTCGTCGTCCTTGTTGGGTATTGTTGCGGCTGTGGCTGATGTTAATGTTGTTGTTTGGTTTTCTCGTGTTATGTTTTATCTTTTTGTGTCTGGGAGAAGAGCCGGGGCCGATTGGCAGCGTTTTTTCCTTCCCTGTGTCTTGGCGCGACGACAGCAGGTCTATGGTATGCATACCTATCTACTTTCCCGACCGTCTTGTTTGCGATCGAGAGCGACAACGTCTTGACTCGTCGGCCCAATGAAAGTGGCAGCGCCTCGGCTGAGCCTCATTCCCCCGCCCTGGCACTCCTTACTACCGACGTCATTTTTTCCGCACGGGGTCCCCAGAAGCTGATTATTTGAGTTACCCATTGGTACCGTCGACCTATCAGACACCCGGTCGAAGTGGTGCGTATTATTGTTATCCGTGGCGTATGTTGTCGAGAGTACGAATAGGCGCACGCCCGG